ATTAATCAGACCAAATAAACCACTAATACCACTAACACCAACAACAGGCAAACACCAACTGGAAGCTACAGTAGTGCCAGGAATTTCTGAAGGAAAAGGGAAAAAAACCAAAGAAATCAAATGATGTTTTCTTAAAATACAGTCAAAACCATTCACCGAGGCACAGGGGAGGCTCAGTGCACAGGGGTCTCTTATAATATTAATGAGAACAAAACTGAAGGTATGGTTTGGTTCTAATAGTTTAAAATTCAGAACTTTGTGTTTACCAAAGAGTTTGTTATTGTTCTGTTGTTTTTCGAGCCAGGCTGTACCTGACAGTCCCTTTAAAAGGACAGAGGCAGAAATGTCTGTGCCAGCTTATAGAAAAAGATATTTATAAAATCAACAGAAATGTTGACCATGCAAGGAATAACTCAGTGCTTTTTACTTGAATGGATATCCCTGGAACAGCTCATTACCCTTCCATCAAACCCGGAACAGCTGGACATGAGGACACTTGAAATGCTGAGGATGAAGCTTAAACTACGCCTGAAGTAGTGGAAATGGAGTCAGTCTGACCACAAATGGTCCTCTAGAAAAGCAATTAATGCTTTCATTAAAGAGCAATGCCCAACAAGTCTAATATTTCAGCTCTGGTTTGTTATTTCCTACACTTGTTGCAGCGCTGTTTTCCGAACAGACATTTTCATTACAGGTACTTTTGTGTTTTATCCCTTGACCCAGTTAAAAGGTATAAGAAAATGATATTGTCCCTGTTTGCTCAATGTACACCCCTGTCTGATTTAATCACCTTCTGCAAAACAAACCCAGGCCGGCTGTTATGAAAGACAGCGGGATCCAGTCACCTGGAGCTTCAAAACTACCCGGGAACAGTAAACATAACCTACTTAGGAGAGACACAGGAACAGGCTCTGCTCACTCACTGCACTTATCTTGCCTCAGTACCTTCATTTTTAATTACAAAGATAATACTTCTGAAAAAGTCCCCTCAGTCTTTCCAAAACATCGCAGTGTCATGTTCCCCGTCTCACAAACAGATTGCAGAATTAATTCCAATTAATAGCTCGGGAGGGCCCGTGGCTTTCTGCAGCTCCCTAGATGGAGGCCGGGGCTGACAGATTTACAGCCAGCACATAAGACACGACTGGCTGAGTTATCCCACCCTGCACTCAACTTGCCAAGAACACAAAGACATTTCTGTTCTGAGCTATCTCCCACAGCAAACCACAAGTTCTTGGAGCTTGTACCCGAGATGAGCTTAGAACCTGTTTTTGGAGCTGAGGACTTGTGTTACCAGACAAAGAACTGTTACTGTGCCAGCTACACCTCACTAAAAACTGCTTTTAATCTGTTTTCTGTTGGCACAATAAAAACCAAAGGCTCTAAACTAATGCCCTGGTCTAATTATTTTACTGCAGATTTGAAGGGTTCTTTACCAGAGAAAAACACACACAAAAAACTGGGTTTGTAGCACTTCTTTCCCAGCAGAGAAGGAGGGTTGGGAGAAACCAGCAGCTATGCAGGTTGTACCTTCCCAGACCGAGGACTCCAAGGGTTTCCAGCACTCCCAGGTTTCACTGACAGACCTGGCTGGGTTTTACACACCTTTCTGGCCTTAAATAGAGCTGCCCCTCCCTTCAGCCCTTTCCCCTGCACTCCCAACTCCCACAGCTCCAGCACTTTCAATGCCCAGCATGGAATGCCCAGTTGGCAGGGACCTCAAAGCCCATCCAGTGCCACCCCTGCCATGGGCAGGGACACCTTCCACCAGCCCAGGTTGCTCCAGCCTGGCCTTGGACGCTTCCCCAGACCCTTCCCAGCACGCTGGGGCAGGTGCTGAACTGGTGTGAAGGAAATGAGCCCACACTGGGTGTCCATGAGGTCCCAGCACCCCCCCAGCTCTGTGGGAATGTCCACATGCCCCCAACACTCTGGTCTGCCTTAGTGGGATCACTCAGCCCAGGAGCAGGGAAGTAACAAAAACAGCTCCAGAACAAATCCAGAGCTCAGTTTTAGTTCTTCTCCCCGTAAAACTTCAGTTGTGGCAACCAAACTAACTGAGGGAGAAAAGTGCTATTTTGTTCAAGCTTCCTCCTGACATTTCTCACCTTGCCAGGAAGGAAAGGAAAACAACAGGGACACAGCAGGATAGGGTGTTTTTAAGCTGATCTTGTCGTTCTCCAAACCCAGTACTGATCAGTAATGATCTTGGCACTGCTCAGAGTTCTGTGCTAAGTTCCCATTAACCCATTCAGGCCCTCCCCAGTGTCCCAGGGATGTGTTACACCCTGAGCACACACTGTTCTTCCCTGGGAGCTGGGATCCATCAAAAACATCCAACACTTTGTCCTCTTCCAACATCTGACTTTTCTGCTGGTACAGCGTTTTTCAGTTCCTAAAGGTTATAAAACAAGAAGATCTACAGTTTCTACTTTTCAACTAATTTCACACAGAACAATTTTACCCTGTCATTTAAGAAGTTATTAGAAAAAAGTGGCTTTTCTACATCAACCTGCCACTCAGTGAGAGTGACTGTCAGCCCTTTGCCACGGGACAGAAAGGAGCATCCCACTGAGGATGTTTCAAATCCATAGTTTTTAAGGCTGAATATTGGTTTTTCTGTTCTATTCAGAGGTGTAACTGCCAGGAAAGCACAGAGAACACAGCACTACCAAACCCATGTTACCTCAAGAGTGGCTGTTTATTAGCCAGCAGTCATACACAGAATTAACAACTTTGGGGACAAAACAGCAAATACAGCAAAAATCAGCTTTGTTCATCTCTAGTAACAATGAGTTATTCTGTTATCTGAGCAGTGTCCAGACACAGATCATG